TTAGTATCTTGAATTCTTCCCCTGCTTTGGCTTCTCTGCGCTCCTCTGAGTCTCTTCTGACATCCATCTTAGTCTTCTCTTCCTCTTCTGTCTTTGTAATGAAAGTTTGCACTCTTCTTGGATGATACCCTTAATATCCTCCCACAATTCATCTGGTCTTCGCTCATTTAGTGTTCAAGGCCTCAAACCTGTTCCTGAGATGGTTCTGAAATTCAGGTGGGATAGACACAAAATCATATTTTGGTTCCCGTGGACTTGGTTTAATTTTTTTCATCTTCAGCTTGAACTTGCATATGAATGGTCTATTCCACAATCAGCTCCTGGCCTAGTTTTCACAGCTGACATTGAGCTTCTCCAGCAGTTCTTTCCACAGATGTAATCAATCTCATTCCTATGCATACCATCAGGTGAAATCCATGTATATAACCTGCATTTTATGTCTCTTAACAAATAAATGTATTTGCAATGAATAAGTCATTGATTGTGCAAAATTCAGTCATCCTCTCTCTAGCTCCATTTCTGTCACCGAGTCCATGTTTTCCAACTACTGAGTCTTCTTCTCTGTTCCCAACTTTTGCATTCTAATCACCCATTATTATCAATGCATCTTGATTGCATGTTTGATCGATCTCCGACTGTAAAAGTTGGTAAAACTCTTCTATTTCCTCTTCCTTGTCTCTGGTTGTTGGTGCATATATCTGAATGATAGTAGTATTCATTGGCCTTCCATGTATGCATATGGATATTATCCTGTCACTCATAATATTGTACTTCAGATGGATCTAGCAATGACTTTCTTAACTATGAAAGCAACTCCATTTTTCCTCACCTTTTCATCTCCATAGTAATATATTATATGATCATCCGACTCAAAATGCCCCATGCCAGTGCATCTCATATCCCCAATGCCTAGTATGTCAATATTTATGCATTCCATTTCTTCCTTAACAGTATCTAATTTTCGTACATTAATGGTTCTCACATTTCATGTCCCAATCATTAGTGTCTGCTTACAACTTTTCCTTGCCACTATTATTTTTGTTTTATTGCTTACAACATTTTATTGAATATAATAAAATTCCTACTTTGGGGTTATTAAGTTTAATCATCTTCAGTTTCTCATTCACAAGAGAGTTACAGTAATGGCAATATCTTTTTTATCCCCTCATTATTTACTTACTTTTTTATTATCAGTCATTTCTGGCAGACAATTTAAAAGTCAGGATGATTTGTAAGTAGCCATTGTGGGCTCTAACAAAAGAAAATATAGTGGTTTTAACCTAAAATGCTTTTGAACATAAATGCAAAAGAAGATTATTTTCCCCTCAGGAGGCCTTTTACTATTTTTTTTAAAGAAATAAACCAAAAATTAACTTTCATATTTCCGATATCAAATAATCTTGGGAAAAATGTTATTTCTAAGTAAAACTTTTTCAAATAACAAATTGTATTCTTCTCTTTAAGACACCTTTGGTTCCAGTATATGTGCAGATGCTTTTATTCCCAACTTGATATTTCACTTTAATGAAATTTCATTTTTTATCCCTTTTTCACCACTACTATCATCGAGCTGCACAACCTTTGTCAACATTGTGCTCTTTCCAAAGGTTGACTATAGTCATTGAAAGAATTACTTCTTTCTAAAAGAATTCTTTCTAAGTGGTTGCAATTTTTAAGGCTAAGTCATAATTTAAGGGTATATGTCTTCCTTTAAAGTCTAGTGTGATATCTTGCCCAATTAAAATTTTAACATTCATCCACAGGATTTATATAGCAAAACTGTACCACAATTTAATTTGTTTTATGCTTGAGTTATTGTTTCCGTATAAATTCTGTATGTGTATATGGATATGATTTCTTTTTTTTCTTCATTTTTTAAAAAAAATTATTATTACTTTCAGTGAAAATTTACAGAGATTTTGGCTTTCCATTCATTCACTGTTGCACTTTTCTCCCCTTCCAACCCTCTCCCCTAGTACCCTACCCTCTTGGAAAAGTAAAAGAAAAATTCTTTCATTGTTTTATAATCCCTCCCCCAAGGTCCACTCCACTAGGCAGCCTTCACTCTGGACTCCTGTTATGATAAAAATACCTAATCACATATCCTTTTTAAACAGTTTTCTCCCTCATCTGTTTCAATGCAGTATACATTATTGAACCCATGTTTCTCAATCTCCCCCCCAACCCTGAGGTCAGTCCAGTTTTACAAGGAAGAGGAAATAGATTTTTACCAGCTTTTACAGTCGGAGATCGATCAAACATGCAATCAAGATGCATTGATAATAATGGGTGACTGGAATGCAAAAGTCGGGAACAAAGAAGAAGATTCAGTAGTTGGAAAACATGGACTCGGTGACAGAAATGGAGCTGGAGAGAGGATGATTGAATTTTGCACAATCAATGACTTATTCATTGCAAACACATAGTGGCACTATGCAGTATTTGTTCTCTTGTGACTAAGATACTTCACTGAGCATAATGTCTTCCAGGGTCACTCATTTTGAATAATGTTGCATAAGTTCCTTGTTTTTCAATTCCATTGTGTGAATATACCACAGCTTCTCTATCCATTTGTTTGTTGATGGGCACTTAGGTTGTTTCCAACTCCTTGCTATTGTGAACAAAGCCGTGATAAACATGGGTGTGCATATATCTGCTTGGATGTCAGTAATGGTCTCTTTGGGGTATATTCCCAGTAGTGTAATTGCTGGGTCAAATGGTATCTCTATTTGCAACTTTTTGAGAAAGTGCCATACCGCGTTCCACAGTGGTTGCACCATTTTGCACTTCCACCAACAGTGAATAAGGGTTTCTGTTTCTCCACAACCTCGCCAGTATTTGTTGTTTGCTGTTCTGTTAAATTTTGCTATTTTGACTGGGGAGAGATGATATCTCATAGTTGTTTTGATTTGCATCTCTCTTAGAGCTAGGGATTTTGAACATTTCTTCATGTGCTTTTTAGCCATCTGAATGTCTTTGGTAAGTGTCTGTTCGTATTACCTTTATCTTATTGTGGTGCTCAAGTATTTTATAAATTCTGGAGATAAGTCCCTTATCTGATACAACTTTTTCCCAGTCTGTGGCTTCCCTTTCTACCCTCTTGGAGAAGATTTTGGATGTGCATAGGGATTTGATTCTTAGCAGGTCTCATTCATCTATTTTATCTTCTCCTGGTTGTAGGTGTATATGGGTATGATTTCTAATTATTTTTTTTTCTGGAGAGCTTCCTATATTTTGGCCCTCTGCAAAGCTTCTGTCCTGAAATTTCCTTCCTTGCTCCCTTAGAATACAACATGCAGCTTCCTGGATTCTATGTAGTTTTGTTCTTTGGTGCTCTCATTTTGAGAGTGCTTTTTCATGAAATTTCCTAATATACAAAAAATGAGAGAAGAAAGATTCTGCACCTATGTGCATGATTGGAACAGTTTTTATTATTTCTCCTAATGTTAAATTTGTGGTTTGTCTGTCAATTTGGATTTAGAATTTCAGGTTAAAAATATTTTGTTTCAGAATTTTGATTGGAGTACCTCATTCCTTTTTAGTGTCCCTGTTGCCCACTCTGATTAAAATATTGTGCTTTCTGATGTTATGCCCCAAATCCAGTTCCCCCCAAGTCACCAAGGAGCCGACACCGATGCAAGGGCAAGAGGGAATTTATTTTAGATTCGAATCCGGGCCGCGTTCCAAACCGTGCCCATACAACAGGGAAGATGGCCGTGGCCCCGATTCTGGGCTGTCCTGCCTATTTAAAGGGGAAAGCCCGCGAAAACAGGGTGATACAGGATTGGCTGATGTTTGGGTGGGGGCTCTTTTCTCCCTTTCCCCACCGCTTTCAGTTTACTGCTCTAGAGGCACATATATATTTTAAAATGACATATTGGTTACAAAATGGAGTCCCTCAATGAAAGCTGCTGAAGATTGGTTTTTCTGTTGTAAGAACCATTCAGTGTTTTCTAATTCTAGGGAAGCAGCAAAAGTAGCCTTAGTTCTAAAGATTAAGCCATCTTTTTTCTCCGTTTAGAGACATAGCATAGTGTATTCTCCTTCTATTTTTGACTTATTATAAAAATTACAAGAGCAGAAATTGCTCTTATCATAAATATAACCTAGTTAACGTGATGATGTTGTTGTTAATTGCTGTCAAGCTGAGCATGACTCATCGTGACTATGAACAAAAGACCTTTCTATAACTATCATCATTTCCCCAAGTTCATAGAGTTGCCATAGGCATGTGGTTTAGGAAGTGGATCCCACTCCTGCTTCCAAATCTGTTTTACAACTGGGAGCTCCACCAAACTCTGTCCACATTGGGAAACCATTATGACAGCTGACACTCCAACGGCACAAGGTTCAGCATCACAGCAAACCCAGGTTACCTCAGTACAGCAAAAGACCGTAACTCCATTCTGTAATTAACATCATTTCTCATGTTCATAGAGTTTCTAGAGCCATCTGGTTTAGGAAGTTGATACCACTTCTGCTTCCAAATCTGAATCAATCTGGAAGCTTCTCCAAATATTGTTCATGATGGGTAACCATTATGGTATTAGTGTTCACCATCACAGAAACTCCAAGTTACTTCAGTACAGCAAATAGACAAATGACTGCTGTACCACTTAAAGAATGTTTATCCCAACATTAATAAGATAAACCAAGTAGACCCCCACCCTTGGGTCATTGTAGGCTAAATCGAGCAAATGTCCATCCAGCTGGCACCAGCTTGTGAAGGGAAAAAACCAAGAACACAAACCAAAACATTCCTTACATGACTTCCATTAAGACACAAGACACCCAACTTCTAGATTGGAACCACTCCAAAGGAACCTCCAGGACAGCGGCCCCTAATTAACAGTGAATAATTCAAACTGAGTTCATAGTATATGTATGTTCTGAATTATAATTCATGAAATAATCCTGAGTCACCCAGTGTCTGTTCCATTCACTGTCTACCTTGACATTTTATTATCAATCTTTACCATTTTGTGTTTTTTTAGCAACAGAAATCACAAGGAAGTAGTACAATAAAGAAAATAAAATCTAAAAGAGTGGATCCTCTTAAAGGCCAGAAGGTTATTGCAAGATGTGATGAAAATGGCTTTTATTTTCCAGGTATATGCTTTTATTTTTTAATATTCCTTTGCTAGTACTGGAGATCATAAGTTATCCAACTCTACTTTCCCTACAACACTGACATTTCATTAGTTAAACTGATGTATTCTACTTCTCAAATTGTTTGGTGATGATGATGTTTTTTTCCTCATATTTGTGACAAAAATTCAGAAAAATCTTAATTTTAACCTCTCATTTGTTTAGTAAACAAGTTTTTACTATATACCTACTGTGTTCCATGTATGTAATGTCCTCCAATATGTTGATCTTCATGGCGTTTACAGCCTAGTGAGATAAGGGAAATCAATAAGCAGTCAAGTAAGTTGAATGTGTAGTAAGTCAGACAGTACAGGATAGAAAAGAAGGCATCAAGAATGTCAGGGTGAAGATCACAGTTCTAAATATGTTGGTCATGGAAGAGCTGCCTGGAAAAGTGAAGATGAGGAAAGTTTTTAGGACAAGCAACAAGCTATGTAAGATTATCTAGGGGAGATAGTTTGAATATAGTAAAGAGTGGAACAGAGGCCTGAAGTGAAGTTAGACATGACTTACTGGAGGAATTAGCAGAGTGGCCCGGGTGGCTGGATCTGAGTGGTTTTCACAAGACTGCTCTGAAGACTTGATTTCTGAAAGAATCAAACATATGGAGTTCAATGAGAGGTAGAGGGGAAAAGTCTTGGAGAAAGTGGCAGTACTGTATATGAATATGTGTTGGGGTGAGGAAAAACAATATATCTGGATAAATAGAAGAGAGTTATACAGGAGTTAGAATACAGTGTTGTTGCTGCGCACCCTTGTGTTGGAACCAAACCCATAGCTGACACTCCAGCAGGTTTTTAGAGACAATAAATCACAGGAAGAGAGATTCCCCATCTTTCCCCTGTGGAGCAGCTGGTGGATTTGAACTTCATACCTTTGTGTTAGCAGTGTGATTCTTTATGACAAGCTGTGCTGCAATCCCAAAGGCATGCAGTTTGAATTCACCGGCAGCTCCACAAGGAGATGGGTGAGCAATCTCCTCCCATGCAATTTACTGCCTCTCAAAACCCTCTAGAGAGTCAGCTATGAGTTGGTTCCGGCTTGAAGGCAAACTACGAGTCACCAGAGTCCCTAGAATATAGTGTTGTTGTGTACCATAGAGTCGACCCATGTAGCTGACCCTCCAGTGGGTTTTCAGACGCAGTTAATTGCACAGGAGGAGACTGCCCATCCTTCCCCTGCGGAGTAGCTGATGGCCTTGAACTGCATGCCTTCAGAATTGCAGCACAGGGTTTTGCCACAAGACCACCAGAACTCCATATTGAAGGGTAAAAACAGTAAAGCTTTTCAAAGGGGAATAGAGGACTGTTTTATAATTAATCTTAAGTTTGAACTTTAAGGCCATTGAGAAGTATTGTTCAAAGCAAGGCAAAATACAATCATACTTGCAGTATATCCTTGCTGTATATAAAGACTAAATATGTATTTGATGTGGATTTGGTAGTGATACAGGACTGATGGTTAGGAAATTTGTTAGGAGGTAGTTGTTACCAGCAATAATGGCAGTGTTTTCTCCAAGACTGGAGAAAACACTGATGTATGTAAATATGGCCTCAATAAGATTAAGTGATTGACTGAGGAGGAGTGATGAAGGGAGAGAGGAGGAGTGGGCAGGGAAGATCTTGGGTCTCAGGCTTAAACCATAAAGTAGACAGTTGTGTCATCTTCACAGAGATGGTTCTGTGGGCAGGGTTGAATGTAGGCTTTATCAAGGACATAATAAATTGTAGGAATATGAGAGCTACCCAACTGAAGATGTCAAGAGAGGCAACTAGATACTTATAATGTGGGGAGGAGAGCTCCACCTTTGTGGAGCTTCAGTACAGAAATGGTCATTGGAATTTTAGGAAGAAATCTATGGGGGAAAGAGGACCTGAGGGGGGATCTATAAGGCAAAAAATAGGCTGTTAGTTTAGAAATAGAGCAAGTGGTATCCATTAACCATCAGTTAAAGACTAATTCAATAGTGCCTAACAACAATGAATAAGAATACATTCAATTACATTTAATTAAATCTTTATTTTAAGGAAGACATGTAAAAAATACACCAGCAAGGTTTGTTGTGGGTTCGTTTTTGTTTTTTTTTTTTATTCCCAGCAGACATGTATGTAGAACTGAAAACTGGAATGTTTTCTTTCAAATCTGGTGACTATGCCTTAAAATTAATTGGTTGGGAATAAGTATTGATCTGAGCATTTGGAATGAGCTCCTATGCTGGGGTGGGCGGGGAACCCTCTTTACAAGGAAGGGCTGGCAAATCTCTGAAGTCGAATTTGCTGACACATGACTGTTGCAAACCATACTGCTTGAGAAGCTTTTTATTTACTGAATTTGAGTTGTTAGAAGCTGATCCGAGACTAATTTGACGTGCAAATAATAGTACTGAAATATATTGGATTCCAAATTGCTGGGTTAGGACTTCAGATCAGTTTATCGGCCATAGTTCCAGAGAAAAGCAGAACAGCTCAGTCTTTTAACCAGCAACATCCCTAGATGATGGGAAAATGCAAAAGACTTTCTGTTATTCATCTGGTGGGGGGAGCAGAGGGTTTAGAGCCAAAATTAGAAGATTTTTTTTTTAAAATATCATGACATGACCCCGCACTGTGCTGTTTGCACTTACTTGTCCTTAGCTCCATCCTGCCTCTGGCCGCTGCCCTCCTGCCTCTGGCTGCTGCCCTCCTGCCTCCCCGACCATGGCTCTGATTCACTCTGGTCGTGTCCTTTCCGGGGCTGCCGCAGCCTTCTACCCAGGCCTCACCGCCTAGGCTTCTGCCAGAGCCAGCTCTTGGTGGGCCCACGTGGAGATGGGGCCCCAGATCCCATCCTGGGAGTCACAGAAGCTTTTGAGAGAGATACCAACAGCAGAAAGATGAACCTGGGAGTTTGGGGCCTACCGAGACGATAACGGAAAGCCTTACGTGCTTCCTAGTGTCCAGAAGGCAGAAGCTCAGATTACTGCAAAAAATCTGGACAGGGAATACCTCCCCATTGGAGGACTGGCAGACTTTTGTAAGGCGTCTGCAGAACTGACCCTGGGTGAAAACAGCGAGGTGTTGACAAGTGGCAGGTATATCACCGTGCAGACCATTTCTGGAACCGGGGCATTAAGGATTAGAGCTAGTTTTCTGCAAAGATTCTTTAAGTTCAGCCGAGATGTCTTCCTGCCCAAACCGTCCTGGGGGAACCACACGTCCATCTTCAGGGATGCTGGCGGTTATCGATACTACGACCCCAAGACTTGTGGCTTTGACTTAACAGGTGCTATCGAAGACATTTCGAAAATGCCAGAGCAAAGTGTTCTTCTGCACGCCTGTGATCACAACCCCACAGGAGTGGACCCTCGTCCTGAGCAGTGGAAGGATGCCTGGGCCATACGCCACTTCATCAAACAGGGCATCGATGTTTGTCTCTGCCAGTCGTACGCCAAGAACATGGGCTTATACGGTGAGCATGTAGGGGCCTTCACCATGGTGTGTGCGGATGCTGATACGGCCAAAAGGGTGGAATCACAGTTGAAAATCTTGATCCGTCCAATGTATTCCAACCCTCCTCTCAACGGAGCCCAGATTAACTCGACTATTCTGACCGCAGGAAGTGAAAGGCATGGCCCACCGCATCATTAGCATGCGGACCCAGCTGGTGTCCAACCTCAGGAAGGAGGTCTCCTCCCACAACTGGCAGCACATCACTGACCAGATCCGCATATTTTGTTTCACGGGGCTCAAGCCCGAGCAGGTGGAGCGGCTCACCAAAGAATTCTCCATCTACATGACCAAGGGCGGCCACATCTTCGTGGCAGTTGTCACCTCTGGCAATGTGGGCTACCTTGCCCATGCAATTCACGAGGTCACCAAGTAATTTCTCTGATCGGAAGGAACAGGGACAGCCTGTCCGTTTTCAGCCTCTGCTGTGAGATGCACAAGGGAGACCGGGGAGGGTGGGTGATGATTAGCAGATTGTTTATTTCAACCACAACACTTAACATTCAGCCATTGAATGTGTTTCCCTGAAAAGATCATGTAGTGAAATAGGGCAGAGGCATCGGTGGCTGGTGGCTGGACATTTGTGGCTCCAAAACCAAACTCTTCTCCCCCTTATCCCCACACCCACCCCAATCCTTTTATCTCCAGCTTTCCCAAAAGAGTTTACATGTGTAAGAAAGTCAGAGCCAAAAATCTGTCATTCACACCATTGCAATATTTCAGAAGCTTTAACTTGAGCACCTTGCATGCTAAGGGTTCCTCTGTTCACCAACATGAGAAATAACACATATGAGAGAATTTGTGAGAAGACCTAGTGTTGACATTAGCAATTGGTTAGTTGGCTTTGTGTTTGCCCTTCCTAAAGATAGCACCGTTCAGAAATCGTGTTTGATGAAATGCACTGAGTCCTCTGTTGGTACGTCAAAGATAATAAAATAGACCTTTTCCTTGTCTTATTTAAAAAGGAAGGCTCTCCTTTTTACCACCTGTAGGCAGTTGAAATCTCCCCTCGTAATCCTTATCATTCATTTTTCTTTTCCTCTGACACAAAGATCCATCATCATTAGCCTAAAACCTTAACTTGTCTATGCCAGCCTAGATTTTCTTCCAGTCTATTGACCCCCTTCTATCAGGATTGATTTTGAGAATGAAGAACATCATTTAATGCTCTTGCCATCTCCTCCAGTAGAGAATAATAGAGGCGTGCGCTTTGACTTACACCTCCTCTCCAATCATTGTTTCATTCTCTCTGTCAGAACACCACCTCTGCCGATAGAGACCTGTCCTATCTTGGCTGAGAGTGGATGTACAGTTACTCACCCCGGGTGAAGCAGGCAGCTCACAGCACCAGGAGACATGGGGTGCTGAACTTAGTGTGTGTGCCAGTCAGGCTCAGGCTTCCCCCTGGAAAAGATGACCACCATCTGCTCTAATCATGTAGATTTACTGCAGCTTGATTTCTCTGTTACAATAAAATCACCGTAGAAAAAAATAAAAATAAAAAATCAAGACATAAGCAGTAGAAGCAAGAAGAATGTTCAGGTCTTGAGCAATAACTGGGCAAGCCTAATCTGAGCCCTCTAGTCCTAAACAGCACCATCAACAAGGAACACATTAAAGCTGGTTTTAAAGTCAGTGTGTAAAAAACTGCTCTTATTTCTGGAGATAGAAAAGTTTCACATTTCTAGTGATTATACCAAAAAAAAGGAACATATAATTCAAAGGTGGGAAAACCTCACATACTTTGGGTATCTTGCTAGAAGAGGCTATTCCTTGGAGAGAGACATGAGGCTGGGAAGGGTGAAAGCTCAGCAAAGGAGAGGAAGACCCTCAACCAGGTTGATTGACAAGGTGACTTCCATAATGGGCTCTTGTGTGTCAGGAAGTGTGAAGGTGGCACAAGATTGAACTGGGTTCAGATATTTTGATATAGGGTCATTATACATCGTACTTGACTCAACAGCACCTTACAACAATATAATTGAAAGAACTATGCGATTGCAGTGAAATATTCTGCAAACATGTTCTGGAGGGAGGGGCTAGTGGTAGTTCAGAGGTAGAATTCTTACCTTCCAGATATGACACTAACCAGTTCCTGTCCACTGCAGCACAGTGCTGTAGTGGAGACTGCTCATTCCTCACCCATGGAGCAGCTGGTGGATTCAAACTGCATGCCTTTGGGATTGCAGAGAAACTTCATACCACTAGACTACCAGAGGTATTTTACTACCAATGAAAAGGTACCCATCTTGAATCCACCAGGTACTCTGTGGGAGAAAGATGGGGTTTACTGCCTCTGAAAAGTCAGTTATGGGTGGGTTCTGACAACAGTACACAAAAGCAACCTCTCATCTATTGATATAGGGCTGTTTCTCACCCATAACAACTCTAAAGGACAGGTCAAACTGGTCCATGTTTCCTTAGCTGTAATCTTTATAAAAGCAGATTGCCTCACCTCTTTCCCCACAAAGTGGCTGGTGAATTCAAACTACCAACCTTAAAACTAGTAGATGAATTCTTAACTACTGCATTACCAGAACTCCTCCTACTAGAAGTAAAGTAAAAACCTATAATCCATTGCTCTTTAGTTGCTTTTTTTTATCATGGAAAACCTTTCATTGAGTTTCTGAGTCAGTACATCTTTTGCTGTTGTTGTTGTTGTTAAGTGCAGTCAAGTTGTATCTACTCATAGCAACCCTATGAACAAAAGACCTGAACACTTGTACAACTTTTGTTGTTTCTCCATGTTCGTGGAGTTTCCGGAGGCAAGCCATTTCGGAAGTGAATGCCACTCCTGCTTCCAAGCTTGTTTTAATCGGGGAGCTCCACCAAACACTGTCCAGTATGGGTAGCCATTATTGCATTTGACACATCAGTGTCACAGTGTTCAGCATCACAGCAACCACAAGTTACCTCTGTACAGCAAATGGACACACCAGTGCTATACTTAGAAGAGTGTTTGACAAAAAACAATTAAAACCAGGCCTGAGGACCACAGATTAAAATCACCCACCTTTGGTTTGGTAGCATCACTTTCTATCCACTAAGCCAACATCATCTTTAAAGCAGGAGATTAACACATCTTTATCTCAGCCAGCAGCTGGTGGGTTCATACTGCCAGCCTTACAGTTAGCAAATACATAGTACATAGTGTACTATGCCATCAGGGCTCCTACTCATAAAAAACTCAAACACATTGCAGTAGAGTTGAACCTGACTCATAGCTTACCCAACAGCAGGTTTTTTGAGGCTGTAAATTGCTCCGTGATTCAAGCCATAGTCTTTCCAGCTCTCTGCTGAACTGGACTGGCAAAAGAACAAACAGATAGTTCTTAGAGAGAGTGTAACCAGGGTGCTCCTTAGAGTCAAAGATAGTGAAGCTTCACCTCACATACTTTGAGCATATTCCTTGCTAGGAAGCATCATGCTTGGAAAGGTGGAGGGTTAGCGAAAGAGAAGAAGACCCTTAATGGGATGGAGTGATATCATGACTGCAGCAGATGGTCTCAAGCATGTTTGAGATAATGACAGGACTGGGTTCAGATCTGTTCATTGGGTCACTATGAGTCATACTCGATGGAACTTAATAACAACAACAAATTGTTCCCATTCCAGCTTAAGAAGGGAACTCTGGTGGCCTAATGTTAAGAAGCTGTGCTACAATCCCAAAGGCATGTGGTTCAGATCCACCAGCTGCAGCACGGCAGAAAGATGGTCAATCTCCTACGTGATTAACTACCCCTGAAAACCACTGGAGAGTCAGCTATGGATCAGTTCTGATTTGATGGTACACAGCAACAACTACTAAAAACATTAAATTCATTGCCATTGAATCAGACCCAACTCGTAACTGACCCAACAGGAGGCTTGTGGAGGCTGTAAATTACATGAGAGGAGATTACCCATCCTTCTTTGTGGAGAAAAATCCACTACCATGGATTTTACTTTGACTTAAGAGACTCTCCATTAAATGTCTAGGTTATCAATCTCTACAGGAGGGGATTGTTTTTCACAGAGGTATTGATAGATTCCAGCTGTCATCTTCAACTTAGCAGGCCAGCACACAACCCACTAAACCGCCAGGGTTCCTCATCCTACTGGGAGTAGTCGTCCTTACTTGTTTTCATATTAGAAGTGATTTCTAAAAAGCATTATTCCTTTTTCTGATTAAAATGTCAGAGACAGTTTATGCTGGAAAACATGTGGATAATGTTTAAAGACATTTTGCAAAACGCATTTAATGTTTTAGCCCACTCAAAGGCAAAAACTATTTTTCATTGTGTGTGTGTATCTGTGCTATTTCATAAATTTGGCCACTTAAAACGAGAAACATGGACTCAAGATGACAATTCACAGCTGTCTCTCTGCCATAGAAAGGACATGGAGGATTGCCAAGGCAAGTGTTAGAGAGTGGCAGACACAGAACCTTTGGGAGCCAAGTGAGAACATATACATGTTTGTCTCTGGGTGGCATTCCATATGCAGCTGTCACTTCCATTTGAAAATTCCATGTCAAAATTTCCTCTTAATACTCAGAGTCCTGTCTTAATGGGAAATGAATTTCAACTAATAAAAATAACAAAAAAATATGAATCTCAACACAGGTCTTTTCTTTTTTAACACTATTATAATAAAATCTTTGAGTATATAAAGAAATCTTTTTGAGCTTTAGGAATTAAAAAAAACACACCTCCTTGCTTTTTAAAAATTTTTGGTTGTATATTTGAGGGTTTGCAGCAGAAGTTTAAGGATTGCAGCCTTCAATATAGACTGAAGCTTAACATCAAGAAAACAAAGATTCTCACCACTGGGCCAATTGGAAACATCATGATAGATGGTGAAGAAATTGAGATTGTTGACAGCTTCAGTTTGCTTGGCCCCAGCAACCAGGAAATTAAAAGAAAAATTGCATTGGGAAAGTCTGCTGTCAGAGACCTCTCCAAGGTACCTGAGAAGCAACAATGTCAGTCTGGAGACTAAGATGCACCTGATACAGGCCATGGCCTTTGCAATCACTTGCTATGCTTCAGAGAGATGGAAAATGATTAGGGATGATAGAAGGAGAATTGATGCCTGTGAGCTGTGGTGCTGGAGAAGAGTATTGAATATACCATGGACTGCTAGGAGAACAAACAAGTTCGTCCTGGAGAGGGTGAAGCCAGACTGCTCCTTGGAGGCAGGGATTCTGAAACTTCGTCTGACATGCTTTGGAGGGTGGAGGGACAGTGCAGAAGAGGAAGACCCTCAGTGAAATGGATTGATTTCGTCACTGGGGTGTGGGGATAGGCGTGTCAGAGACAGTAAGATTGACAAGGGATAGAGCAAGGTGTAGGGCTGTTGTACACAGGGTCGCTATGAGACGCAAGCGACTCAAAGGCACATACAACAACAAACAACATATTTGAGGGAAGCTGAACTGTCCAACTTACTTACCTTTCAGTTTATATTTTATTTTACTTTTTTAATTTAACATCTCTCCTATGTTCTACAGAAGTAATGGGAATAGAATAAAGAAATCTGATGAGTGGAAGAGGAGAGGAGGTGTCCAGAGTGAGGGTTTGCCCTTTCAGGACTGATGCCCAATAAGATGGTTGCTGGTGAACAAGCCACAGACATGCTCTCAACTTCCCTCATCTGTGTGTGCTCCTGACCAAGCACTGTGCTAATCCATTTTGAGCTGTTCAGCCCTAGTGCATCAGACCTCTTTACCCAGAAGAGAAATCAAAGAGAACACTTATTTAAACAGTCAAAGTGTCATCATTTAGGGCCATACTGTAAATAGGATGAAGCAAACTTGAAAAAGTAGAAATTTGCCTTTATAGGTTTGTTTGCGTTTTTTTTCCCTCCTAATCATTCCAGGCGTTGTGAAGAAGTGTGTGAGTCCTACCCATGCACTGGTGGGCTTCAAGTATGGAGACACCAAAGTCGTGCCCACCTCGTTCATCACACCTATTGGAGGCGCCATGCCCTGCCCCATGCTCCAGGTACCTGTACCAATGACCACTCATTACCATTCACAGTATTTTGAATAACAGTGGATAGCAAGACCACAGTTTCATGTACTCTGCTGGGCACCCAGTTGCTTCTCTGGGAAGCCTGTGTTGGGACCAGAGCAGTATTTCCAGGCTCCTTCCTAATCCTGTGACTCATTCATTGTGTGGCATTGTCTTTGCTTGTAAATCAGATCAGCGGACTTCCTGTTATGTAGCTCATGGTTGTGTGGACTTGGCTTGTGTTTCACAAGACAACTGTAGGTGCTGGGGGAAGGGAGTTGCTGTGAGCTATGAGTGCAACTTTATTCTAATGCTTGTAATAGCAAAATGTTCTATTAAAATTAACCTAATAGCAAGGACAGCTGTTGTGTGTTGCCAGTTAGTCCATTTTAACTCGTAGCGACCCCATGGGACAGAGTAGAAGGGTTCTATACAATTTTCTAGGCTGTAGTCTTTATGTTGAAAGTGAGCAAATAACCATGTCTTTCTTGTGGTACCATGAGACGAGTTCACCATTCTTTTGGTTCACAATCAAGTCCCTAACTACAATAGAACCAGATAGTGCTTGTCTTGATGTTGTCGTCAGCTGATGCCAGAGTAATACAGTTAGCCCCTAATTTTCAGTTCACAGATGAGCCAGAGTGGAATGTTCTCCTCTGTTTATAAACCCATAAAAACTGGGCATGGCTGTCAAGCCACTTCCTGCTATCTTCCTCCCCATACCAAGGCTGAGGAGTAACCAACCTCTAAGGCAATGTGGGGGAATGTCTCCTAGGGCTCCACTTTCTTTGTTTCTCAGACAGTGTGAGCCAGGCGGAAAGTCAGGATGTTTGTGTGGTGCTGTTTCTGCCTTGGCCCTGAAGAGTCCTCACACCTGTCAACACAAGGATTTGCTAACATTATCCACTTGAGCCCTTTACTGTGGGAGGCTGTCTCTTGGTAACTTTCCCCACAAGTCGTAGCTGAAGACTTGGGAACAGCACTGAACAAACCTGCTCTGTTCCTGTCTGGTCGGTCCTCAGCCATCCTGTCAGGTCTCTGGAAGATGCCTCCTTAGTTGTTATGTTAAACACTTCAGATTCCTTCGTGGTTTCTAGACCCTCACCATTTTCCTCATTGTCCCTTGAATCCTTTGCCACTTCTGTCAGGTCTCCTGAAAAAGCAGCTTCCTCCAGAATTCTCAAGGAGTCCAGAAAGGAATGAAACTAGTTTCTCTTTACTAAGTATGCTTAATAGACTAGAAAAAAACCCTGAAAAAACAAACCACAGCACTCATATTTGGATTTTAGGCTCAGTACTTCTTCATCATCTTAGAGTATTGTTACGAATTGTCTGTAACCTCTCTAAGCTAATACTTGCTTTGACATATGTCCTTATCTACAGGTTGGAGATTATGTATTTGCCAAAATTGTGATACCCAAAGGATTTGACTTCTATGTCCCTGCTATTGTCATAGCACTTCCAAATCAGGATGTGCCAGAAGATAAATTCTACACAGTTTTGAAGTGCAACAACCGGAAAGTAAGTTGATCTTCATTTAGCAGTGAACTTTCTGCTAGCTTCTGGCTAGGCAGGAAGCTAGTTTTATTTGTTTGTTTTAATTTTTGCCCCTTTTCTGGGTAATACTCAGTTCCTCCTGATACTGCTAAATGTCATGAAGGAGCCACTTCCTCACTGTATCTACATCTTCCCTCTAGTTTGGATTCTGAGCTTTGTACAGCATACCACCTGCCCTGACTAAGATCGTCATGGCCACATACTCCTGCACTGATAGTCTTTGACTCTCACTCCATCTGATGGAGCTACAGGATTCCACATCTGGGATGCTCAGCCCTAGTAGCACCAGTGCCATCCTGGGATTCTTGCAGTAGTACTATATCTCCCTTCCTACTTCTCAGATTGCTTCTGCCTTGTTTAAGTTCCTTTAATAGTTCCATAGGTGCTGGCTTCTCTTCAAGCTACTCCAGGCCTCTCCCTTTCTGCCTCCTCATGACCATTCATGGTGGGCCATCTTGGAGAATTTTTTTGCCAGTGATAGCCATTTCATGCCTGCCCTACATGCCAACTATACCTACCTTTCTAAGTGGGCTCTACTAGGCCTCTACCTCTGAACAAGCCATAGGCATCTCAAACTCAAGATCTCAACTTTTCTCTCATGTGCATTCTTTCTGCTGTCCCTGTATCAGGAATGCCACCAACTGATTCCTCATTTCACACTTGACTATGAGCCACCCAAAGGGGAGCCAGGAGTGTGGCCTGGTGAGGAAACATAACATAGAACAAAGCAGAAGGAGCAGAGATTTTACAGCAATAATAAAATATCTGCAACTAGATTTCTTAATATAAATATATCCTTTGGTGGCAGGGAAGTTGCTTCTCATCTTTGACCCTCAGTTTTATCACTTATGGAAAAGGCAGAAAATATAAGTAAATATATGTATGTTGTTGGAAGTAGGAGTGACGTCCACTTCCTAAACAGCATGCTTCTGGAAACTCAGTGAACTTTGAAAATGATGATAGTTGTCTTTCTCTTGGGCTTGGATCAGGCGGCATCCAAGTTCTGTCGCTCAGCCATGGCCAAAATCAAGGCTCGGCACCTTCGCGGAAAGAAGAAGGAGGAGCTGTTAAAACAGCTGGACGATCTGAAGGTGGAGCTTTCCCAGCTGCGTCGCCAAAGTGACAAGCGGGGAGAAGGGTGCAACAATGAATGAATGGAATTCCAAAATCTCTGTAGATGTTCATTGAAATGAAAAATAAACAACCTAAATTTAAAAAAAAAA